CCAGAGCCAGCTTCCCTTCAGCCTCCCCCCGGAGTACGCGCAGCTACAGAGGAGCTTCTGGATGCTGGCGCAGAAAGGTGGGGAAGGTGGTGCTGGGAGGGGTGCTGAGCCCCGCTGGTGGGTGCCGTGACGCAGCCCCTGTGCCCGGCAGTGCACGGCTCACTCAGCAGCGTGGTGACGGCGCTGACGGTGGAGAGGACGCGTCTGGAGGAGCTGCGGCGGGCGCTGGACCGGCGGCGCTCAGCACCGCGCCCCGGCAGCGCCGGCAATGCCGGGGTGAGGATTGCAGGGGCCGGATGGGAGTTTTAGATGTGCCCCCCCCCTGCCCCGCCAGTACTTTGGGGTTGGTGCTGTTGGGTGCAGCGAGTTGGCAGGGTCTCAGGATCACACCGTTGGGGGGTGATCCCCCCTCCCCATCGGCCCCACACTGGTTGGAGGGGACACGTATGGGGGGGGTTGGCTCAGCATCCCCCCCCTCCATCACCTCTCCAGGCTGCCCTGCGCCGCTTCCACTCCCTCTCCGTCTCCTCTGACACCACCATGGACTCCTTCGCATCGCTGCACCCCAATGAGGTCGGGGGGGCCGGGATAGGGTTTGGGGGTCGGGGTTGGGGGTCCCGGGGGCTGAGGTGGTGGCTGTCCCCACAGCCGGACCCACTGCCAGCCAAGGGCCGGGAGCAGCAGCTCTCCAACCGCAGCATCGTGTCGCTGGCCGATTCCCACACCGAGTTCTTCGATGCCTGCGAGGTTTTCCTCTCTGCCAGCTCCTCTGAGAACGAGGTGGGGAAGGGGCTTCAGTGAGGAGGGGGGGGGGGGCTCTGCAGACCCCCCCCTGCCGCTGCTTCTGTGGGTTCATCTCTTTCTTCTCTCTCCGTGTCCCCTCCCCATTAGCTGCCCTCCGTATTCCATGTCCTCCCCCCTTTAGCACAGTCCTTCTAGGCTCTCAGGGACCCCCCAGTCTCTAACACTCACCAGCCCCACTCCTGCATTCCCCATCTGCCCTCCCGAGCCCATCCCAGACACCCAATTCCCACCCCATCCTCTCGGGGGAGGGTCCAACCCCTCCTATGGGGTAATCCCCAGACCCCGGCCCCCTCTCCAAGCCGCCGGCGGTCCCTGCGTGTCCTCAGCCCTCGGACGATGAATCGTGCATGAGCGAGGCCACCACCAGCGCCTGCGAGGACGCGGCCGAGCCCCCGACAGGTACCGGGAGGGGGTCACCGATGAGAAGAAGGGAAGGAAGTGGATGTGTTCGGCTCCATCCCACAGCGCCCGGTCCCGCAGGCGCGGAGGGCCCGGGGATGCCCGCGGAGCCACCGCCGGTGGAGCTGCCCGGTCCGGACCCGCGGCGGAGGAGCCGCCTGCCCGCGCCGCCCGCCCCGTCGGGGGACGTGAGCCTGTGGGGGCTGCTGCGGAGCAGCGTGGGGAAGGACCTGTCCCGGGTGGCCCTGCCCGTGCAGCTCAACGAGCCCCTCAACACGCTCCAGCGCCTCTGCGAGGAGCTCGAGTACAGCGCGCTCCTGGACCGCGCCAGCCGCGCCCGCGACCCGCGGCAGCGCTTGGTGCGGGCACCGGCAACGGGGGATGTGGGGGACATGGGATACGGGGGACTTCAGGAGGACACGGGGGATGTGGGGGACATGGGAGGCTCAGGAAGGTCGGGGGCTTGGGGGACACTGGGGGATTGGATGCAGGGGGAGCTCGGGGGATGCAGGGGGAGCTCAAGGGATGCAGGGGGCTTGGGGAACACAGGGGAATTTGGGGGTCGGGAGGGCGCTTGGGCGACATGAGGGACTTTGGGGACATGGGGAGTTTGGGAAGGTCAGGGGCTCTGGGAGCACGGATGGAGCGTGGGGGGGACTTGGGGAGTTTGGTGATTTAGGAGGCTTGGGGGACATGTGGAGCTCCTGGGACATTGTAGGAGCAGGGGAACACTTGAGGGGATGCAGGGGGCTTGGGGAACACAAGGGATTTTGGAAGCCAGGAGGGCACAGGGGAGATGTGGGCCTTGGGGACTTTGGGGACATGAGGGGCTTGGGAAGGTCAGGGGCTCTGGGAGCACGGATGGAGCGTGGGGGGGACTTGGGGAGTTTGGTGATTTAGGAGGCTTTGGGGACATGTGGAGCTCCTGGGACATTGTAGGAGCAGGGGAACACTTGGGGGGCTCGGGGGACATGGGGTTTCTGGGGGCACCCTGCCATTGCCATGGCTCTGGTGGTGACACTGTGGGGACAGGTCTATGTGGCTGCCTTTGCCGTGTCTGCCTATGCCTCCACCTACTACCGGGCGGGCAGCAAACCCTTCAACCCGGTGCTGGGAGAGACCTATGAGTGCGTGAGGCCTGACCGCGGCTTCCGCTTCATCAGCGAGCAGGTAGGGCCAGGCAGAGTGGGGGCACAGGGGGGCCGGATGGGGCCGCGGCATGGCCCATTACCCCCGCCTCCATCCAGGTCTGCCACCACCCTCCCATCTCCGCCTGCCACGCTGAGTCTGACAACTTCATCTTCTGGCAAGGTGGGTGCTGAGGAGGGTGCTGGGGACATGCGAGGGGGACATGAGGGGGTCTCACCCCCTCCCGTTCCTCCATCCCATAGACATGAGGTGGAAGAATAAGTTCTGGGGCAAGTCTCTGGAGATCGTCCCTGTGGGCACCGTCAACGTGCAGCTGCCACGGTGAGAGCCCAGCACCAGGAGGTGCTTCCCCACCGTCACCGCCACCATCAACATCACCATCCCCATCCTGCCCTCGTGCTCCCGCAGGACCGGGGACCACTTCCAATGGAACAAGGTGACCACGTGCATCCACAACGTGCTGAGCGGCCCGCGCTGGATCGAGCACTACGGCGAGGTGCTGATCCGCAACACACGGGACGCTGCCTACCACTGCAAGATCACCTTCGGCAAGGTGCGGCCGACACGCCACGACATGCTGTGACATGTCATGACACGCCTTATCATGTCCCACCCTATTCCCCCCTTTCCTTTTCCCATGGCCACATCCTTTTCCAATACCCTTGCCTATTACCCAGTAGCACTGCCCCTTTCCCAGTGGCCCCTCAGTTAGGTGACCCATTCCCAATGGCTCCACTCCATCACTCATGGATTCCCCCTTCCCAATGACCCCATCCCTTCCCAATGACTCCACTCCATCACTCGTGGATCCCCCTTTCCCTGTGGCCCCATCCCTTCCCAATGACTCCATCACTCATGGATCCCCCTTTCCCTATGGCCCCATCCTTCCCAATGACTCCACTCCATCACTCATGGATTCCCCCTTCCCTATGGCCCCATCCTTCCCAATGACTCCACTCATTCACTCATGGATCCCCCTTTCCCTATGGCCCCATCCTTCCCAATGACTCCACTCCATCACTCGTGGATCCCCGTTTCCCTATGGCCCCATCCTTCCCAATGGCTCCACTCCATCACTCATGGATCCCCCTTTCCCTATGGCCCCATCCTTCCCAATGACTCCATCACTCGTGGATCCCCCCTTCCCAACGGCCCCATCCCTTCCCAATGACTCCTCCCTATTTCTCATGGCCCCGCCCCTTTCCCACGGCCCCGCCCGTTTCCCACGCCCCCATCCCTTCCCATATCCATACTCTTTCCCATAGCTCCCCCGTTTCCCCCCCCCCTTTTCCCCTCCCGCAGGCTCGGTACTGGGGCGCAGGGGCCAACGAGGTGCAGGGCTTGGTGCTGAGCCGCAGCGGGGCCGTGGTGGAGCGCCTGGCCGGGAAGTGGCACGAGGGGCTGCACCGCGGGCCGGCACCGGGGCACTGCGTCTGGAGGGCCAGTAAGGACCGGTGGGGTCACACACACACACATACAAGTGCATGGGGAAGGGGGGGGTGTCTCAGCACTGTGCCCCCCACATCCCTCCAGACCCCATGCCCCATGACCATGAGAAGAACTACGGCTTCACGCAGTTCGCCCTGGAGCTGAACGAGCTGACGCCGGAGCTGCGCCGCGTCCTGCCCTCCACTGACACCCGCCTGCGGCCCGACCAGCGGTGAGCCAAGCGCCCCAACACCGCGGTTCGGGGGTGCTGAAGCTGCCCAGGGCATCGCAGCCGCGGCCTCATCCTCCTCAGGTACCTGGAGGAAGGCAACGTCCCGGCGGCCGAGACGCAGAAGCGCCAAATCGAGCAGCTGCAGCGGGACCGGCGCCGGGTGATGGAGGAGAACAACATCACGCACCAGGCTCGCTTCTTCAGGTCCAGCTTGTGGGGCAAGGCGTGGGGCGCCCCATGGCTTAGGGGGATGTGGGGTTCTCATGGAATGGGGACACCCCTTGGGAGTCCTGATGGGATGGTCCCCCCCACTCCATCCCTAGGCGGCTGATGGATGCTAATGGCAAGGAGTCGTGGGTCACCAACAACACCTATTGGAAGCTGCGCCTGGATCCCGGCTTTGCCCACCTGGACAGCGCGGTGCTCTGGTAGTGACCCCCGCAATAGGGTGCTGAGCCCCTCCCCAGGCTCATCACAGCAGTGGGGCTGGTCCCCCCAGCACTGGGGGTGTGGAGCCAGCCCCAAAACCCTGGGGCAGAGCCTCAGGGCTGGCTGGGACTCAATGGGACAGGGGCTGGCAGTGCCCCCCCACTGCCCTGGGGGAGCGGGCAGCAGGGGGGTGTGGGGTGCCCGCGGGCGGGCAGACCCCTCTGGCCCCCCAAGGGTTGCTCCAATAAAGGCTGTAAAGAGATGGGGTGTGTGGAGGGCTTCCTTCTCTCCCATCCAGGTCTCCCCTCCCAGGCCAGGATGGGGGGGGGGGGGACGGACACAGGGGTCCCTTCACTCTCCTCCCCATGCCTCAGTTTCCCTCCCCCCACGTGCATGCAAAGGATAGCAAAGAGCTGTGCCCCACAGCGTCCCCTTTATTGCGAGATATGCTGCTGCCCCCAGCCCCACACCAGGCACGCGGGGGGCTCAATAAATACTTCAGCATTAACACCCCCCCCCCCCCCCCCCCGACACCTTAAAACCAACCAACGACAAAAAACCACCCCCTTCCTCCCTGTTCCCTCCTTGCTTGCCCCCATGGCCCCACCGGGGTGGCACTGGGGGCTGATTGATTGTCTGGCTTCATCCTGCCCCCCAACACGCTCAAGTCTTCCCAGGATATGATGTTGAACTGGGGGGGGGGAACGACACACACACACATTGCACCCCTTGGGTCCTGAGGCTTTGGGGTGCCCGTGGGGATGGGTTTTGAGCCCCCCAAGTGTGGCTCAGTTGCCGTAGAAGCCGTAGTAGCCACCATCGGCACCCGGGTCCTTGTCATAGAGGTCCCCATTGCGGGGTGGGGGGGAGCTTTCGGCGCTGGAGGGGTACGGGGACACCCGCCGCCGCTTGCACTCGTACAGCCCCAAGTCCACGGAGTCCGCTGGGGCGGGGGGCTCGGGGGGCCAGCCCTCTGCTTCCTTCCCCTTCTCCTCCCGGGGCTCCCGGTACCAGCCCAGAGCCCCGGGGCTGCCCTTGGGGCCGTATTGCCCAGGGCTCCAGCCCCCCGCCACCCCGAACCCCGCCGGCCCCTCGGGGTAATAGGGCAGGGGTTGATGTGGGGCGGGCGGCAGGGTGAAGGACTTCACCCCATAGGACACCAGCTTGCCCCCCCCGTATCCCGCTTCGTAGCCACCGTACTCCAGGGTGCCCGTGGCAGGGGGGGGTTGCTGGGGGGTGAAGTACCAGCGCGGGGGGTCTTTGGGGGGCAGCGGCAGCGGAGCCCCCCGCTCCGCACTGAAGAGGCGCCCCGGGGGCAACGGGAACTGCTCGGGCAGGAAGGGCTGGAAGCGGGGGGCGGGCAGGAGCTGCCGGCAGCCGGGACCCTCCAACGGGGACGGGGTGAGGCGGTCGCCCTCCGAGGCCGTGTACATCCTGGGGGGGGGGGGGCACAGGGTGGGAGTCGGGGGGTGCCCTCTTACCAACAGAGTTGGGGGGGGGCACCGGCAGGAAGGGGGGGGGGACACACACTCACGAGTCAAAGTTATCCCGGAATCCTTTGGCAAAGGGGTTATGATCGATCTTCAGCTGCGTGATCTGGAGGGGGGGGGTATGGACATGGGGGTGCTGCTGCCAGTCTGATCCCCCCCTCCGCACCCCGGGATGCACCCAGCACCCAGCCAGAGTGCCCCCTGCCCATCCCTGGACCCCTGCTCCATCACCCATGAGGTTCAGCTGCATCCGGGAGAACGGGGGTGATGCTGGGCTGCTGTTGGGGTGCTGGGGGGGGCACTGAAGGGTGTTGGGATGCTGAGGGGGTGCTTGGGGGGGGTACTGGGCTTCGGGGAGAGGCACTGGGATGCTGAGGAGATGGGGGGTGTGCAGAGATGCTATAGACAGGGGTGTTTGGAGGATGCTGTTGGGGTTTCCCTAATGCTGGGGACCTTCAATGGTGCTGGGGGGGGGAAGCGGTTCCGAGGTGGTTACTGTGATGTTGGGGTGATATCGGGGTGTATCAGTGGTTGCTGCGGCCCTGGGAGGATGCTGGAGGGAGGATGTTGGGGTCCCTGTGCTGGAAGCAGGGGGGGGGGATGTTTGTGGGGGTACCCCCATACCAGGGACCGGAAGGGGGGGGGGGTCTCATACTCACGTCAGCGTTCTGGTAGGCCGTGACGGCGATGAACTGCGTCTCTGGGAAGGCGAAGGTGTGCGTGTGTGGGGAGGGGAACCCCTCATCCTCACCCTCCTGCACCTCCGTCACATGCAGCCGCGGCTGGTACTTGTGCAGCGACTGCAGCACGATCATCTGAGGGGGGGCAGCGGGTGGTCAGGGGGGGCTATAGGGGCGCAGGGTGGTTTATGGTGGGGAGCCTCACCTGGCCGACGTTGTTGGATGCGCCCTTGTTGTTGGTGAGCTTCAGCTTCCCAAAGGAGACCTCCTGCCGCATCCAGTGCGCACCCGTGTTGGGAGAGTCGGGGTGCAGGTAGAGGCGGTTCCCTGGGGGATAAAGGGGCGGCAGGGATGGGGTTACCCCGCTCTCGGCACCATGAGGAGGGTGAGGATGAGGACTGGGAGCCCGTACCTGGCATATTGCCTTCGGCTTTGCCACACTGCACCCACTTGCCGCCCTGGTAGCGCCAGTGATGCTGGTCCATCAGCACCACGTCCACGCAGACGCTGTAGTGGGCTACGGGGTTGAGCCCTGAGAGGGTGAAGCTGAGGAACGGGAACATGCGCCTGGGGGGGGGGGGGAACAGGGACAGACAGTGTTTAAACCCCCCCCGGCTCAAGCTCTGCCATGGTGGGGATAGGGAAACTGAGGCAGCACAATGCCCGGTCATTGCCCCCCCCCATCCCGGTGCCCGTGAGGAGCTGACTGACCCTGGCAGCTGGGGGGATGCTCTCGGGGATGATTCCCCCCCCCCCCCCCGCCCCGGCATCTTCCTCCCCCTCCCCAAGCACCTTCCGGATCGGAAACCAACACCGCTGCTATTTCGGGCTGGGCGCCAGCCTGCGCCAAGGGCAGGAAGGGGACAGGATGGGATGGACAGGGGGGACCCTGCGGCCCTGGGGCTGCAGCTGCCACCCCCCCTGTGCCCCATGGGGATGCACCCCGCTGTGCCCCACACCCCAAAATCCCAGCCTTAGGCTGGGGAGTCTGGCCCCCCTTCCTCCAAGTTCAATCCCTCCTTTTCCATCACCGGCCTCAGTAGTCCCAGTTGCCAGCCCAGGTTTGCAGTCTGGTCCAGACCAACATGGGGGACATGGGAGTCCTCAGCCTTCCCCCCAGGTATGATATACATGGGGTGATGGATGGGGGAATTCAGCCTGAACCCCCCTCCTTGGTGGAAAAAGAGTGGGGGGAACCCTGGCCCCATCCCTCTCTCCTCCTCTTCCTCCTTCCCTTGTGCTTTGCCGCTTCCATCAGCCAGTACCCGGTGGGTGAGGATGAGGGGCAGCAAGTGCAGGGGTTATTTCGGGTGTCCTGGCATACCCCAGCATATCCCATTGGCCCAAAGCAGAGACCTGTGAGCTCAGGACAGGGATGGCACCATGCACCAAAGGGCAGCAGCACCCCCATCTCCACCCCAACAGCACTGGAACCACAACAGCTCCCCTCCAACATCCTCCCAGGGCCACAGAAACCACTGATACACCCCAGTATTGCCCCAGCATCACAGTAACCCCCCCGAACAGCCCCTCAGAACCCCCATGGCACCAATGGCAACACCACGGAGCCCCTTCACACCAGTTTGGGGTTGAGGAGCAAAGCGAGGGGCTGGGAGCAGGGGGATACATCAGGCATGGCCCCGGCAGGAAGCACGGCTTGGGCAGTGCCATGGCACCAGGGAAGCAGCGTACGAAGAGCTGAGCCCGCAGCCCAACCCGGGCGCTGCTGACTCAGACTTGCCCTTGCGATGGAGAGGGGGAAAGAGAGAGAAAAGAGAGGAAGGGGAAAAAGAAAGCGGTTCTTGTAACGAGGAGCCTCACACGTGCTCCGCGGGGCCGGGATGCACGGCGGCCCCGAGCATCCCGGGTACCACAGGCTCCATCCGAGCCGTGGCAGCGCCCACCCCACCGCCGTTGTGCCGAGCATCGCCTCCGTGGTTCCTGCCGCCGATGAGAGCTGCAGCCACATCAAAGGGAGGCAGCGAGGGGCTCCGAGCTCTCCTGGGGCCGATGCTTCACCACCACCTAAGCCCTCACCACCAAAGCCCCACGGAGCCGCGGTGATGCAGGCTCTGGGCTGAGCAGCCCCGCCGGGTGCTGCAGCGGCCCCGAGCTGCTGCGAGGAGCTGGGAGGAAGAAACCAGCCTTTTTTTTTCTGGGGTTTTAGGGGGTTTTTGTGCACCTCGCTCGGCACCGCCGGCTCCCGGCTCCTCGCGTTGCCGGCGGAGCAGAGACGGGCTTAGAGCTCAAGCGGTGCCGCGGTGCAAACCGCAGGGCTCGGCCGGGGCACGGCAGGGTGGGGGTAAGACCCGAAACCTCGGGGTTATTTATAACCCCTCAGCGCTGGAGCTGCTGCTGCCGCCGGAGCAAGGCTTGGCTCCGCTGGGGCTGGGAGGGGCCGCGGTTGGGGTGATTGATGCACCCCAAAAGCGGGTGGGAAGCGATGGTTTCCCTCCAGTGATGGAGCTCTGGAAGGGGGTCCCGGCTCTCCGGCTGCCCCGAGGTTTGTCCCTGCATGAACCCCTCCATTCAGAGGGTTTGGGGTGTACGCAGGGGACACGGGAGATGTGGGCACAGTGGTGCATCCAGGTGTCAAGGGGATGCTGGGACATGGGACCTTGGGGTGATGGGAGGCAGGGAGCAGGAAGAGGGAGTCCAGAATGAGCCCAGATGGAAGGAAATTTGGGGTCAGCCACCTAAACCCCATTTTCCGGCCCGTTTTCCCCCCTGCCTGCATCCCCAATGCCTTCCACGTGCCCTCAGCACACTGCTGCATGGCACGGTGCACAGCAATGCATGGCACAGTGGCACAGTGCTGTGTGGATGCATGGCATGGCTGCATGGTGCCCCCCAGTTGCATGGCAGGATGACACAGCGATGCATGGCACAGCAGCACAGCGCCATGTAGCTGCATTGCATAGCAGCATGGTTGCACGGCACGGCGCTCTGAGACTGCATTGTGCGGCTGCATGGCATTGGGGTTATGCTATGGCTTCATGGCGCTACAGGACTGCATTGCGTGGCTGCATGGCATTGGGGTTATGCTATGGCTTCATGGTGCTACGTGGCTGCATTGCATGGCTGCATGGCATTGGGGTTATGCCATGGCTTCATGGTGCTACGTGGCTGCATTGCACAGCAGCAGGGTTGCATGGCGTTGCTGCTCGGCACAGATAGGTACATGGCACAGCTACATGCTGGACCAGCATCTACCAACTTGGGCAAAGCAGCTCCGAGGCCCCCCCAATGCACACCCACCCCTGCAACCACACCAACCTTTGTGTTTGCCAAACGCAACCCTTTTGTCCCCAAAGTTGTCCCCTGTGTTCCTGCAAAGGCAACGCCAATCCCTATATGTCTTCCAAGTAAAACGCCGTTGCCAGCAGCCTCCCCAAAAGTGACGCCATCCCTTGTGTCCCCAAAGATAAAGCCACCCCCAAAGGCAGCACCAAATCCCCCCCCCCCCAGCCGCAAAGCCAGCCCCTAATGGCATCCCTGAGTCCCCCTCAAAGTCAAAGCCAGCCCCTGTGCCACCCCAAAAGGCAAAGGCAGCGCCTGCTCTGCAGCAGAAACCCACAGCAGGAATTCCCCAGGTCCTTGCAGCAGGGGCAATGGGGAGTGCTTGGGGGTTTCCACAGAAATCCAGCCCTGGCTGAGCCCCAAGAGTAGAGGGGATGGAGGAGGGATGGGGACGGAGGAGGGATGGGGATGGAGGAGGGATGGGGACGGAGGAGGGATGGGGATGGAGGAGGGATGGGGACGGAGGAGGGATGGGGACCCGCGTGTGAAACTGGCAGGAAACCAGTTCTGCTGGGGATGAGTGGGCCCGGGATGGTGTGGGATGGGATGGGATGGGATGGTGTGGCATGCACAGGACAGCACGTTAGAGCCAGAGCAGAGGTAAATCCCAGCACCAGAGCAGGTTCACCCCAATGGCACCATCTCCCACCCGGCCTCAGCTCCTCTCCACTTGGAGCTGAGACACCAGGAACCCCAGAGACCATCGAGGGACCAGCGCAGCCCGCTCCTGCTCTGCCAGCGGGATGGGGCACATCCCCTGCCCTGCCCCAGAGCCCCCCAGCCCGGGGGGGGTGCCAGCTCTGGGGCTCACATCTCCCTCCAGCCCCACACTGGGGTTTTTCCTGTGCGAGCAGCGCTGCAGCCCGGCCCCGCAGCCGCCGCTGTGCAAAAGCAGCTCAGGGTCGGGGGAAACGGATGTTTTGTGGCTCCGAGTTTGACGGCTCCCCCGGGCTGGGTTTGCTCTGACACCCCCCCCCCCCCAGACCCCGACCTCTCTGCAGAGCCATTGTGGGGAATCAGCGGGGAAAAGAGCCCCAAAATCGCCTGGTTTTGGGTTGGGAGCTGGCAGCAGAGCCCCAGATGGGATTTGGGGATTTGGGGGGGGGGGGGCAGAGAAGATGGGATCTCGGGATGGACCCCGTTTTCCAGAGCCTCAGCACCAGCCTCCTGAGCCGCCCCGATGCAGCAGGGATGGGCACTGCCCCAGGGGATGGGGAAAGAGAAGAGAAAAGCAAAGGGGTGAATTTCAGTGGGTTTCTGTAGGAGAAACAACCCTTTGGGGGGCAGGGGGGGGGGGTCCCCAAAGCCTCAGACACCCACTTGGCCGATGCTGGGGACACGTCACCCCATCCATGCTAGTGCTGAGCGGCCCCTGAGCCCGGCGGGGGGGAAGAGGCCTGGGAATGGCTGTGGCAAACCAAGCGGCCCTAACGTGTTTAGACTTCCAACACATTAAACAGGTTGGGCTCAGCATCGAAGTGACACCGTCTGTCTCGGCCAAGGGAGGGAAGGGGCAGAAAGAGAACCCCTGGGCAAGGAATGGTGGTGGAAGGGGGGGGGTGGTCACTGAAGCAGGAGGAGCTGTGGGGGGGTGGAAATCCTCACCATGGGGTTTTGGAAACCCCAAAGCCACCACGCTCATGCTGCCCTCCTGGCCCCAGCATCATCCCCCCCGAGACATCACACACACTGCAGCACAGGGCCTGCTTCCCATCACCCCGGTGTGGGGCTGAAGGATGCCCTCCAGACCCTGCAAACAGGGATGTTGGCAGGGCTGCGGTGGACTTTAGCTCCCCCCACCCTGCCCCAGGCTCAGGACCCCTGTGGACAGCCCAGCAGCACAGAGGGAGCAGCAGGTCCCTGCCCGCGGTCCCGCCAGCGGCTGCTCCGGCACCCAGGATGCTGCCGAAACGCTTCCGCCAGCACACGGAGGCACCCGGCCTATGCCCGTCCCCCATCCCCAACGAGCAGAGGGGGGGTCAGCCCCACACTCTGCTGCGCCCGGGGCTACCAGCACCCTCCTGTGCTCTCACTACTTGGAGCGGTGCTGAGCTCTGGGTCGAGGCCAGATAAACCCTGCCTCCAGGGTGCCAGTACCATTGCCATGAGCTTCCGTGGTGCACAAACCCTGCCTGGATCCCCCTTCTCCCACTCTGACACAGGAGGAGACACCCCCAGACCCTTTTCTCCTTCCAACTCCCCTATAAATGAGGTCTCGGGGAGGTCTGGTTCGCTTTGCTCCCCCATTTTCCTCTGACCATGCAGAAAGACATCATCCCAAACCCACAGGGGTGGGATCCCTCTTGCACTTCCCCCCACATCCTTTGCACGGGCAGATGGGGACCCCACGCAACCATCACCCACACCTCCAGCCCCTCACCGTGCCGGCCACCCCACTGCCAACCACAGCATCCCCGGAGCATCCCTTCCATACCGGAACCCCAACCTCTCCTCCCCAGTGCCCATGAGGGTCCGGGTACCACTGCCGGTCCCTATCCCGATCCACCCCCCTCGGTGTCCCGGCTCACCTGCCCTGCTTGGTGATGATCATCTCGGTCTGATGCTTGTGGAACTTGGCCCAGAGCTGGTAGTTGTTGAGCATCACTTGCACCTTTCCTGCCGCCCGGTACCCGGGCAGGGCGCAGAGCGGCCCGGAGCGGGGGCACAAAGAGGGGGCCGCGGCCCCGAAACCTCCGTCGGCTCCCGCGTACAGCTCCGCGCCCCCGTAACCCTCCCCCGGGCCGGCGGCGGGAGGCGGCGGTGCTCGGTAAGGCGGGCACGGCCCCAGGAACCGGCCGCCGAAGCCACCGGGAGCACCGTAAGGGAGCGGGGGGGTTCCCGGTTCCGGAGGGGGTCCCCCCCCATCTCCGTAGTACGAGGCGGCGGCGGCGGGGGCGTCCCGGGGGGCCGGCGCCTCCTTGGCGAAGCTGAGCATGGGAGCGGCGGGGCGGGGGGCTCCGGTGCCCTGCTCCAGCGCGCCCATGGACGGGCCGGGGGGGGGGCCCCCGGCTCCTCTCAGCCGCTCATGGGGGCCCCGCCGGCGGCCCCGGGACCCGGAGTCGGGCGCGTTTCAGCCGCCCCCTCCATGCCCGGTGGCCCCGGAGGGGCAGGGGGGGGAAACGAACCGTGGGGACCCGGGGAAAGCCAAGTTGGGGGGGGGGGAAGGCAAAAAACCCAAACACCCCCCCAAGAAAAGCCTCAAAAACACCCGGAAAGAGCCCAAAAGTGGCGTCGGGAGGATCCGGCCCCGTCCCGCTGCTGCCGCTGCTCTCACGCGTTCACCTGCCCATCCCCGTGGCCCCGCGCCTCTTATCCAAAGAAGCGGCTCCGCGCCGGGAGCTCCGCCCCCCCCCCATAGAGGCGGCCCTCACTGGGGCGGGGAGCGGGGCACGGGGCGGGCCGGGGGGGCGGGCCACGAGGGGAGGGGATGGGGGACACCGGGGGACACGGGGGGGGGGGCATGGGGGGATATGGGGGTACAGGGGAGGGGAGGGTGGGAGGGGATGAGGACATGGGGCCATGGGACACCTGCAAGAGATGGGGACACGGGAGGGGACACAGGGACCGAGCATGAGGGGGACAGAGCAGGGGTCTCTGGGGTGACACTGAGGGCCCCCCCATACCCTGTCGTGTCCCCCCTCCCAGCACCCTTAATTGAGCCTTTAATGACCTCACTCACCCTGGGGTGCTGCGTGGGGCCTGTGCGGGTGCTCCCCCCTTTCCTGTAGTCTTGGGGACCCCCCACAGCCACCTCTGCCACCGTGTGCGGATGTTTGGGGTCCCCCCGTGGCTCACGCATTCACTGGGGGTGACCTGGGGACATCCTTGGCCTCTTTCCCTGGGGTCGGGGTTGCTCGGAGCTCCGTGGGGAGCTGGGACAAGCCCTGGGGCCCCCTCCGGTGCCCACCCCGAGGCCGGGCCTCCCCGGGACCTGCCCTTGACCCCGCTGTGCCCGGGGAAGACCCCACGGAGGCGCTCGGGGCCGGATCCCTTGGCAGGTCCCCAGCCCATCAATACTTTCCATGCCCAGCGGTGGGGCACGGCTGGAGCATCCCCGCGCCTGTCGCTCCCGCACCGCATGGAAGGACAAGGGACGGGCTGGTGGTCCCGGTCCTGGGGTCCAGGCTTGGTGTCTGGGTGCTGGTGGGGCGCCACTGGAGCGGGGGTCTTGAGGGGTTGTGGGGAGAAAGGGGGGGGGGGGGGGGGTCTGGCAAACACGCATCTAAGTCTTTTGGGCTCTGTGGCCTCAGGGTTGCAGGTGATGGGGCTGCCAGGGGACAGCGGGAGCGGATGGGGACATGGATGTGATGGGGGGACAGGAATGGGACAAGGATGTGGATGGGATAGGGAGGGGGACAGGGGTGGATGGGGCAGGGAAATGTTTGGAGACAGGGAAATGGATAGGGACAGGGATGTGGATGGGGACAGGGATGTGGACAGCTTTGTTTCCCCCATGGAGGAGTCGGTCCAGCTGTGGGGCAGGAGGAAATGGGGGGTTAAGGATGCACGGGACGTGGAGGGGGTGGATGGGGAGGACCCCCATGTCCCCACAGTGAGTCCCCTGGCGGCCTCGGTGGTCTCCAGGGGGTGTGTATTGGCCATCAGACACAGCTTAGCAGCCATTCCATCCGGCTTTTCACCGGGGGCATTGTTCAGAGGGGTCCTCGGCTTCAATCTCTATGCAAAGCCCCCTCCTGCTGCCCCCCCTCCCCATCCTTTCCGGCTCCCTGCCAGCTCCTCCTGCCCTCTAATCCCCTGGGATGTGGTGGGGGCAGAGTGCTGGTGCTGGGGCATGTGGGGGGGGGGGTTTGCAGACCCCATACTCACGCCTGGCCTCGTATGTGCACACACATGCACATGCACACGGGTGTGCCCCCCTCCCGGGCACAGCCACTGTGCTCCTGCATCCAGGTCAGAGCATGCAAGCTGCCCCCCCCATCCCTGGGCACCCCCTCCCCATCCATCCCTCCGGAATTCGCCCCCCCCCCCCCCCCCAAGTGAGAAAAACCAGGAAAACATGGAAATTTCCAGCATTTTTTTTTTTTCTAGGAGGATAAAATAAAGGCCGGAGGGGGGGTTATGGAAGGGGGGGGGGGGAGTGACTCATTAATGGGGGGGAAGCAAGTGCTGCAGCACATGTGCTCCCCAACATCACGACGTGCTAATTCATTCCCGTTATACCATCGCCGGCGAGGATGAATTCACAGGCACAAACTCCCCCCCCCCCCCGCTGCGGGATCAGCGCCGGGCTCCCGAGCATCCCGCTGTGCCCATGGCTGGGGACCTGCCCCCGTCACCCCACGTCCCCCTGGTCCCCGTCGCTGTGACACCGGGGTCTGGCATGGATCTGTCCCCAGGATGTCTTGTCCTTGAGTGTGTGTGTATGTGTATGTGTGTGTGTCCCCCCCTGTAAAGCGACACCGGGGACGCTGCCCTCCCCGGGAGCCACAGCAGCACTCCCGGAGCTCTGCTTGTCACAAGTGTCCCTGCGCAGGGAGGGCTCGCTCGGGGCCAGGAGGGGAAGGGGAGCTGGGAGCCGTGTCCTGACCGTCACCTTGAACAGCTCCCATGGCCCCGACGGTGACCGGGATGCTCCGGGGCATCCTCAGCCTCGCTCCTCTCCAGCGCGGTGTCCCTCGGCGTTAAGGGACCAAGCAGCCTGAGCTCAGCTCTCCGCGGTGAGGAAGCGCTGGGATTTGGGGTCCAAACCTCCCTGCAGCACTAATTCCACCCATGCATCCCCATCCGCAGTGCTCCAGGACCTCCTCGGGGCTACATCAAGCCCCGTGCCTCAGTTTCCTCTCTTTAGATAGCTGATGCTACACTGCACATTAAACAGCGTTGGGGATGGTGGCCGAGGGCAGCAGCGTGTGTCCCCCCCCCATAGCCCTGTCCCTCCTGGAAGAGGGAGGAAGTGACCAACGCTGCAGGATGCACCCCACCGGACACATCCCTCCCCACTGCATCTCCAGAGCTGAGCCCCAGCATCACCTCCTGCCTCAGTTTCTCCTCCTGTAACTGCAGGGTTGAATATCCCCATCCCTGGGGTCTCCAGCACCGATTGGGATGGAGGTCAGAGCCTTTGTGGGGGCATTACCCTGAGCACCGCCTTGCTCCAGGTCACCCATCCCTGCAACACGTCTCCATCCTGCATCTCTTCACTCATGGACATCAGCCCCAGGACCAAATCCCTGCCAGAGGCACTGGGCAGGAGCCAGCCCTCATCATCGTGCAAGCCCTGATGTCCCCAAGCCCCAACGTCCCCAAGCCCTCCTGTCCCCACACCACCCTCCAGCACAGACAGATCCCAGGCAGTGCCGGTGGTGCTGTAGGGTGGGATATTTGCTTTCCCATCAGGAATTTGGCTGCTGGGCACCAAGGGGAAACTTCGGGGTTATTTTCTTACTAAACGGCCCCGTTCCTGTTTTCATTATTAAAACGAACACGAAGGCACTGGGCACCCACGGGGGCTAAATTTGGTCTCAGGGAAAACCAAAAATACTCCCCCCACCCCAGAGGAATTTGCATCTCGCTGCTGCTCGAAGGCAATGTGTTGCTGAGAAGTTCATGGAGGCCTGAATGCGAACTGCAGGGCGGATGGGGCAGGATGGGGACACCCACCCAGCCAAGGGATACCCAGCCTGTCCTGGGGCTGCACTGCAGCCAGCATCCTTGGTGCATCCAGCCCCTGGGGCTTTGCAGGCCAGGGGAGAGATGGAGCCACATTCCCCGGTCCTTGCTGTATCCCAGAGCAATGCTTCAGAGCTCCCCCCCTTGCTGCCATCGGTGTCCTGGGGAAACTGAGTCACGGGTGGGGAATGAGTGGCTGGGTTGTGGGGTGTGGGCTCAGACTCCATCCGCCCAATGCCACCACTCCCCACCCTGCACCCCAACACTGGCACCCTCCTCCTTCCTGCCCCAAAGCACCACGCTCCACCCCAGCCACTTGGGGGAAACCCCATGGAAGGGGGTGTCCCGTGGGAAGGAGGAGGGGGGGGCACGGAGTTCGTCCCACCGTGGGGCTTCCCCTGAGCAGCCTCAAACCACCACCCTGGTGAGATGGATCCTGACCAGCGCCGGGAGGTTCCTCACCCTGCACCCATGGGTGCTGCTCCTTCAGCAACGCTGCCAGGGCCAGCCAGGGGTGACACGGCGGTGGCAGCTCCGGGGAGGGGGGGATGCCAGCAAGCAGGGAGGGGGGGGCACACTGAGCAGACGGCTCCTTAATCTCGGGGAAGGAAGCGGCTCTGGTTACGGAGCTGCCCTCGGTGTAAAAGGAGAGCAACAGGAAGAAAAGTCATTAACATCGTTCCAGCCGCTGCCATCCAAAACCCGACTGGTGCCGCGCCCCGTGCGACAGCCCCGTGTCCCCAGCGCCGTGATGGAAGGGGGTGGTGTGTGTAACATAAGGGGGGTTCACCCCAGAGAGCCCCCAACACCCCATCCCTGTTGGGGTCCCGCTCAAAGCCCCGGCTCTTAGGGACACTGAACCGCAGCGCGGCTCCGGTCCCTCCTCCTCCTCTTTCGCACCCCAGCGTGGGAGCCCGTGTGGGATGTGGGGTGTGCCCAGCCCGCAGCGTCCCTGTGCGGGTGTCACCGTGTGCGGGTGTCACCGTGTGCGGGTGACACCGTGTGCGGGTGACACCGTGTGCGGGTGACATCGTGTGCGGGTGACACCGTGTCCACAGTGCCACCGTCCATGGGGCAGAAGCTCCAGGGAGCATCGATGGGGTTGGTGTGAGCGTGCAAAAGGCCGGGTGTGTGTGCAAGGCTGTGTAAGGGGGGGGGGTGTGCACAGGCATGCGAGGATGCGTGCATGAGCGTGCACGGGAACATGGGTGTGCAAGGGAACACGCGTGTGCACAGGCAGGCAAAGGATGCTCATTGCACACAGATACCCACCATGTGCCCGTGCAGCACAGGGGGGTGTCCATGAGGCCGTGTGAAGCAACCCCCCCTCTCCATCACCCGCCGGGCCGGGGGGGGGGGGGGGTCCGTGTCGCCCCCCGCTGCTGTAGGACGCGATTTGCTTCAGCGGGAGGCAGATCCCCGGTGCAGAGCCGGGGCTCCCTGGGGACAGCCGGGGGGCTGCAGCCCCTGTCTGGCCGGCTTAGCGTGACGGGGGCACACGGGGCTCGGGGCCCCCCGGCCCTTCCTCTTCATCAGCGGGAGGCGAAGGCCGGGGAGTGATGTGCGGGGCTGGGGAGGGGGGGGGGAACACAGGGACAATGGGTGAGATACGGGCTACAGCTTCTGACAACGCGTGATCCCGGCGGGCGCAGGCGTGTGCGGGATCACCCGCCCTGGTGCGGGTGACTTGGGGTCATGGGGGGGG